AGTGAGAAGGAAGTAAAAGTAAACAAATCACACACAGTGACACACCATGTCACAAAGCTTGAATCATCTCAAACTGGTTTCTTGAACAAGAATGCGAGTTCACTGTAATCAAATGTCTTCCAAAATCACCAGATCTCAATCCAATAGAGCTCCTTTGTGATGTGGTGTAATTGGAGATTTGCATCATTGATGTGCAGCTGATAAATCTGCAGCAATTGTTCGAATTGCCATCAATTCAATATGGACCAAAATCTCTGAAGTATTTCCAGAAACGTGTACAACAAAGAATTTGGGCAGTTCTGAAGGTAAAAGGGGTCCAAAACATTACTAAGGTGCATGTAACAAAGTGTTCGTTGAGTGTAAACATTAAGTACATCATTATGCATGCAGTACTGTCTCTGTGTGTGTTTGTGTTTATAAAGTGATTCTGTGGCTCTGTTGCACCAGGAGTATTTTCTTTTCACTTTATGTTTTTCTTTCCACTGTTTTGCCTCCTCCTACACTCTGTATAGCTGTTTGCCCCCACTTAACAATGCACAGTGCGCATTACAACTGCACAAACACACAATTTAAAAAAACAAAAACAAAAAACATCTCTATGCTCAAAGTTCTTAAAATCAATCCTCCAGCAAACTGGCAGCTGATGATACTCTGGACTCTTTCACCCAGTCCTTTTTCAGACAGACCGTTCAGATTTTCCACCCTAACGACGTGTACAGGTGTAATCCCAACACTTTTGTTTGGCAAACGTATGTAATATGAATGAACATGAAAGATGCCACTGTGCAATTCTTATTTAATTTATGTTTCACCTTTTTGAGTTGATTGTGAGCTTCAGTGCTGAGGTTTAAAATGTCTCCAGTCCAGGAGGTGAACAAGAGAAAATGATAACCACAGAAAGGAGTGTGAAGACTGCAGGGAGCTGTTAATTATCAATTTTTTTTTTATAAATGGAATCTGTTCTGTTTAATTACTTAATGTTATGACATTACTGGTACTGCTTTCCTGTTTCGTCTTTGTCTTTTCTTCTCTTCAAATCCTTATGGTATTTTTCTACTACGTGAAACAAACTTAGCACACATCATTACTGACAATCACACATCGCAGTACAACTAAAAGCTGATAGTCGGAAAAAATAATCACAGATTTGTCACTATCTCGATATTCTCTCAATGATGAGAAAGTATGCATGAAATTTTCAGTATCGTAACATATTTTGTTCAACATCCATCTTGTCCTTTGCCCTGTTTCTAACTTAAATATTTGAAATATTCCCCATAGTCCCAGCAGGGCGCATATGTGTGCATGTGCATGATAGAATGAGGTCAGATGAGCTTTAGTTTGTATCAAAATCACTACCTTTGATGTGGGAGGTGTGCAGGCATTCATGAATCTGCATTGTGTCATTTATAATCTTTTCAGAAGTGTGTGGATATCTGAAATGTTTTCAACCCAAAAAATAAAATTCATCTTTCTGCACTCCAATATGTGCTGGTTTGAGGTACGTGTGAATATCTAGCCCACATGATGAAGATCATCTTGGTCCCCTCAACACAGCTCGTCCTTTTTTGTCTCACTAGCTGCCAGCTTGCCATTTGTCTCTGTTAAAATGTTCAGGTGGTGACAGTTTATTATGGGATGCGACAGAAAGGTCAGACCTCTCATACACACTTAGTAGTTTACTGTAGAAAAAAGGTCAGCAGTGTGTCGAGGGTAAAGGACAGACAGAGCGTGTCAGACGAACCCAAACAAAAAGAGCTAAAAGGTTTTGTGCGGTGTGTGGGGGTGAGTGAAAATGTTACACAGTTAAAGAAAAACAAATAAAAATTTATACAATTACGCTGAAAAATAATTGTATAATGTCACATGTGTATGAAACAATCATTAGAAAGTCTTATGTTCATAAATAGTTAAAATTATTCTCAATAGTTTCTCTTTGGATAACCGTCCCCCTCAGTTCAGCTTTTATATAGTTATTTTCATGTGGCTGCATCAGCGTTTGAGCGAGATTGTAGGCCTAAATATTACATCACACAAAGAAATTCACTGGCAGGCTCCTCCTCATACTTAAAAGGATGAGACCTAACGCAGCACCTCAACAAGTAAAAATGAAAATTAATCCTTCTGGGACCTGCTTTGATTTTTTTTTTTTTTCCGGAAGTCTAAGCTGATTCAAAAGCAAGCTTTAAATTACCTTCCCTCAGAAAATGCTGCTTTATGTGTTAATATTTCCCTTTCATTAAATCCATCACATAAGTTGGAGTTTTTGTTTATTAATTAATCTGCTTCATTTTGTCAGTTTCACTCCTGATTTTATGTTAATAGTTTACTGCATCAACATCTGGCCACATTTATGTTTGTTTTGTTTTATTCTTTAAGTGTGTTTTTTTTTCACGGTGTATTTTCTCATACTTATTTTCTTAATATACCAACACAGATTACAAAAATTATTTTGGAAAAATGGCAGTTGTTTTGCCATTTGTGTCACACAAAGAGTGAACGCTCTAACCAAAAGTCAGTGTGGATAGGACTACACCTAGTGGTAGAAATGTAGACATACACACACAAGCTTTACTTCTACAAGACTATAAAAATAGGTCGTGTGTTCAATAATATATGGTTATTTATATAACATAAAACATAAGGAATTTAGTAATACCATTTGAAACAGAAAAGAATATCTATTGCAATATAATGCAATAAGGGTTCAAAGTAACATGAGTGGAGAATCTTTTGTGGAAAAAGTTGATGCAATAATACCTTTAAAGTTCAACATAACTTTTGTTTTTAAGGGTTTTAAAATGCAGCCAAAAAGCAAAGAATAGTTGTGTCTAGAAAAAAGCATTTGTAAGCATCTTTTCTTCGCTAATTGTAATTTATTTAAACCAAACACGTCTTACAGAATAAACGTTTTAGTGACTGTCATGGCCTAAAAATACAGCCGGTAACATCTCTATGCTGAATCTCACAGCCTGGCAGCTGTGGGGGAAGGCCTGCTGTTTGGTCTGCTGGCAACAGATAAATGTAAATGTTGACTCAGAGTGATGGCCTGCCCTGATGCTTGAGTTCTTTCATTCCCTTCTGGTTTCTGGTATTAAAGGGAAAAAAATCTATGAAGGAAAGTGTTGTTCACTTTTCATGATGGATTTTAAGCTGAATCCGAAACACTCACACATTCAGACGAATGACACCGCTGCAGGTAAATCTCCCTTTCTGTCTCGTTTTAATGAAACTTTACAGTATTCACACCTGACAGCTCAAGCAGTTAGATGTCTACACATTTCTCTCTTTCTTCTGAAACATTTTCTTTACTCATAATTTCACAGACATGAAGTTTGTGATCCTGTTGGCTGTTTTGAGTGGTAAGTTTTCTCCTCTGTTGTTACTGCAAGTATATGTGCTGGTGTTGTAGATTTAAAGTCATGAAACATAGTTTTGAAAATTATAGTTTTAAAATTTAAACATGCAGTGTTCTACTTAGACCTACTTAACATCCAGGATTCGCTCATGACTTCTATTTATGTCAGTTTTGTTAGGAATTCTTATTTAATACATGCGCCTACAAGTATTATAATATCCGTCAATGTTAATGTTTTTAGGGGGGTTTGCTGCCCCTTTCCTGAAGGAAGAGGAGGCAAAGGGATTTATCAGGCTGAAGAGACAGGCAGGATATTGGGATCCAAACCACTCTCAGAACCAGTGGGGTTACACCGTTCAGGAGCAGGTAAATGTTAGTGAAATGTTCTAAGCATATAGAGTGAGTCACTTTAAGAATCGTTTCATGTAATTGTTTGTTCATTAGGCTAATGAGTACTGGACGGCCATTCGAACAGATGCGCAGTATTACATGGACATGAGCAACCTGATGTTTGACCGCTCTGTGGCCACGTGAGTGACGTAACTGTTTGTCGCTATTAAATTACATTTGAATGTTTCAGAGTCAGACTCTTCCAATTTTATCGAGGTAACGCATTATCATTTTATATGTATGTTTATCGAGTACATTACTTACGTAACTTTAAATCAAACACGTTTGCAAAGGAAACTGTTTTAACGGTCAGCGTGCCCAAACCGAAGTAACTTCAATGAGCACTGTAACTTCCTTTTAATATAGTTATGATACTTTTGATCACACAAACTTAAAGCCAATATTCATTATATGTATTTTACTTTGCAGCGAAAACAACAGGATGTATATGGAGATGCTGCGCAATGCACGCGCCCACCTGGACAGCCTCACCGGTCGTAATGGATAGTAAAGAAAAGAGAAGACTGGGGCCCAAAATAAAAACAAATTAAATGGAAAACATTTCATAAAAAGCGATTTACATAAGCATATATACAAAATATATAGTTAGAAAGTATATAAAGACTTACTTGATATGGGATGTTTTTGAATATGTTCTCCATTCAGAGCCTGTCTAACTGTACTAGATTTAGCGATCAAACGCACTATGACATGAACACAACATTTGGACAGAAAGTCTTAGAATCTCAGTAATTGGTCAGCTTTTTTACTCAAGTTAAGCCTCTCATTGGTTACGAAGCGTGACCATTATTTCCTATATCAGCATGGCGGAAAATGTTGTTTTCAGCAATTGTGTCAAATTTATTGGATTATTGTAGAAAAATGATGCAAGCATTTCATACAATAAAATCAAATTAAATTGAACTGAACATTTTGCTTCTTTAGTCTTTTGGGATTGTCTATTAATGGAAATAAAATGATTTTATGCCATTAATTAAAACGTATTCAACAGTATTCGAAGAATCAAACGAAATGAGATTTACCACCAGGTGGTGCTGCAAGATGCAGATTTTACTTCACTGATTTCAGCCAAAGCTAAAATGATCCTGTTTGGGGGGGATAAGTCATACCATTTGTGACACTGCAGTGACTTAAATTTTGCACACAACATGATGAGCAAATACATTTTTTGCTGAATTGTAAGCGAGTCTAAAAACAGCATTATCTTAAACAGGCTTGTGTATTTAAACCAGCTTTATTGGTTTGATTAGGTACATCGAAACAATAAAAACAACAAACTTATGGGTTGTTTTCATTAATCCAGTACACTTTGTTACTTTAAATGTATTCTTTGTCTGCTGTGAGAAAAATTTATCTGATGAGGACGACACAAGTGACAAATCAGTAAATGCTACTGAAACAGAGCAGCACAATTTTTAAGCTTCGGTGTGGTGATACTCAACATACAGCCTGAGGGCCAAATCAGGGCTATCATTAAGTTAATGTTAGCAATAAGTCAGTTATTGCTAACATTAACTTTTACTGTTTATTACTTTTATTTCAGGTTTATTCATGCCTTGTCACATGCAGAAATGATTTTTCTTATAGTTTACTACAAAAAAGTAGCCTACTGTTAAATAATAGCTTTGACAACGCCCTCATGGGTGTTTATTTAATTAAAATTCCCAGAGTAGAAATTTGTTTTGAATTTGAAAAAAAAGTATGTCAAGAAAAAAATATCAAATTAAATATGATGTTGGTTAAAAACATAAAAAATAAGGCAATTATGGGGTTTTACCTTAATCTTGTATATTGATAGCTAAATACCATTTGGTGTAGAGTTTATGAAGCATTTCTTTGTTGTTGTTTTTTATTTTGGCAATTTGCGAACTGAAACTCAACACAGGTGAGACTACTGGTTACTCAGGTTGTCATATATATCTTAAACCGGAATAAAATGCCAATATAATCAGATGAAACGTTATGATATTGACAAAACAGACAGAGTGACCTGATGACTTATTCGCATGTATATTTTACACAGTGGTTTAACAGAAAGAGTCAGATAGTCAACAAAATCCTGTAAAAGGTGCCTGCAGTGGGCTCTTCTTGCTCAGTAGTACCATGTTTAAAAAATGTTTTCTTTGAAGGCAGATGATCAGTTGCCTCGTCAGTGTAACGGCTCTGAAGCTTGTTCCTCACTTGGAATTGGAGGGGGGATTTTCATGAACATCTGCAGAGCTGGAGTGAAGATAAGGATGGTGCCTAATACTGAGACAGTGAGGAAAGCCCAAAGGAAGATTCTGTCTAACACCTGGGCCACAAACTTCCAGTCTTGTACCACCTGTGAAAAGGCAAAAATAAGACATGGGATTACAGAAAGAGTATGCGCAATATAAACATCAAGTTCTTAATCTGTCAAAAGAATTTAATGTTTATTGATAAATACTTTACACACCTCACGGATGAAGTGTTCTTTACGGATATGTCTGCTGATGTAGCGCACCGAATAGATGGCTTTCTCCAACATAGCACCCCAGGCTTCTTCGTCCTTCCCATCAGAAGTAGTCGGTCCGAGCGAACCACTGTTTGTCTTCTGGCCTCTCCGACCTCCAGAGCGAGACTTCAGCTCAGGGCTTTCGGGAGCCAGCTCTGGGTAGTGGTAGCGGTCAGTGTGCCCTCGCATGCACAGCAATCTGGGCAGTTTTTGAAGAAAGAGGTTTCGAACCCATGGCGACATTGGGTGGTAAGTGGCTGAGGAGCGGTGGTGGACATTGATGACAAAGACAGTGACGATGATGGAGAGGGTGACAAAAATCATGATGAAGAGGAGGTACTCTCCGATCAGGGGTATGACCTTGGAGGAGGAGGGAATAATCTCTTCAATGACCAGCAGGAACACAGTAAGTGACACTAGGACGGAGGTAGAGAGTGAAAGCTTCTCTCCTTCATCTGAGGGGAGGTAAAAGACCAGGACGGTCAGAAATGACAAACCCAAACAAGGGATGATTAGGAACAGCGTGTAGAACAAAGGCAGCCTCTTCAGGATGAAGGAGTATGTGATGAAGGGGTAGGATAACAAGCCATCTTTTCTGTTTCCTTTGGCACCAGTAGCGCTGAGTATCTCCCACTCCCCGTTATCAAAGAAGTCTTTCCGATCAACCTGGTTGTCCATGAGAACCAAGTCCACCATGCTGCCATCATAGGTCCAGGACCCAAACTTCATGGAGCAGTTCTGGCGATCAAAAGGGAAAAAAGTGACATCCATGGTGCAGGCAGATTTGTAACTGGCAGGTGGTGTCCAGGTGATGGCCCCGTTGTACTTCACAATAGCTTTGGTCATCAGGGAACCCTCAAACCGCCCATCAGCACTGAAGAAATATGAAACACAAGTCAATTCTCATCTTAAGTCCATTTACATGAAACTGTTAAATTAATACTACTATATGCAATTTTAAAGCAATTAAGATAGATAGCATCACGTTGTGTTAGTGTTTTTCATACAGACAGACTCATGTTTCACATGACGTAATCATCAGTCACTGGATTGCTGAAATTTCAGAGCGGCCTTACTTCTCATACAGGACGATGTCTGGGAGCCAGATATTTTCTGAAGGAACTCTGATGGAGGTGATTCCTCCGTATTTATCTGGATTCCATCGCAGCTTGTAATCAATCCATTCCTGGTCAAGGGAAAATGCAGGAAGCCACATCAGCAGACTTATAAACAACACTCAATAATACTGTGATTTGCTTGTATTTGTTGTATACCCTCTATAACAGACTCCTTTATGAATTCTGTCACCCATCATCAGTTATACAAATAACAACTAAATATTAAATTTAAACCAACTGCTCACACATACAGCTTATTTAAGCAAATCAAGGGTCTATATATTAGTTTTAAAATACATTACATTCAAAAAGTCAGTCTCATTTTACCTGCAAACCATGTGTTATTTGTTAATGCATCATGAAAAATAAACTGATTAACATTTATGAGAAAAGGTTTATAAATGGTCTCTTGGATGATTCTGTACAATCTTTCATGCTCCTGCCCAACAACATTGTGTTCATTTTGTCTTACCTGCCACAGCCAAACATTAGTTGTCATTAGCTGATTTTTCTCATCCTAAAAGACAAAAACATAAAAAATAGAAAAAATATTATTATTTAAAATTGGGAAAATATGTTATGTAAAAATACTTTCCAAAAACATAAGAAGAAATCATTTTTGCAACCCATTGTTTTATTATTTGGTGGATTTGCACATTAAAATGCAACTATGAAAATGAAATATATTTGCTTGTTTGGCTGGTTTTGGTTGGGTTGTTCAGTTCTGTGCAAAAGACTCAAGACACCCCTGATGTCTTTGCATGTTTTCAGGGAAAATGGGAAATAGGTGCAGCGATTGCATACATAGAAATAAAATAAGGCAAAAACAGAGTTTGTAGAATTCCTAAAAGCTTGAAAGTCAACATTTGGCATGGACACTTTTATTCTTCAGCTGTGTTAGCTGCAAGCTCATTTTCATTGTCATTCAGTATTCTTCAGGAGCAGTTCTCCAGGCTTCTTGAAGGATGTACAAAGCTCTTCTTTGGATACTGGCTGCCCTTTGTTGTGCCCTCTGTCTACATGTTCCCACACTGCTTCAGTAATGTTGAGGTTTGAGCTATGGGGAGGAAAGTCCATGACTGATGGTGTTCCACTGTGTGTTTTTCTATCCAAGTATGCTTTTCCTGCAGTGGCAATGTGCTTGAGATCATTGTCATATTAAAAGATGAAGGCACTGCCAATCAGAAGCTTCCCAAATGTTAGTGGATCAAAGTCTGATGATACTTTTCTGGGTTCATAGTTCCATCCATTTTGCCAAAGATTCCAAAACCACAGACTGAAGTTCAGCCTTAAATACTGACAGAGCCTCCACTGTGTTCTACAGATGGCTGTAAAACATGGCACTCATTGTTATACCCCTCTCCTGACTTCCTCTGTACATATTGACAAAAATGTCAACCAGAAATTTCAGATTTGGATTCATCACTCCATGAAACCTATCGCCATAGATTTTGAGTCAAATTCTTCAAATTCAAATTCATTTGCATACCTCAGCCTTATCCATCACATGTCATGATTCTATTAGTCCAAAAACACTATTTTATGCCAATAAACTTTGATATCTTTGGCATTTTTTAAAAGATTTAACTAAAGAAATGAAAACTTGCTTTTGTAACAGAGTTCTAGTAACAAAGTACCTAAAGATACACTTTAAAATTGGTTCTTCGCTAAAGCACCTGTTCAGTATAGACTCAACACTGATTCACGCTTAAATGATTCATAAACAAAGTTTACAAAGAAATCCAAGATCACTTATTTCATTCAAATATTTTATTGTCTGCTACTGTTTTAGTGAATATAAAACCCCCAGCTCAGGTGAACCAAATCATCTTTTCGTTTTCCACTGTATCTGACAGAATCTGATTTATCTGCCACTTTCTTAGTAAACACAAAGAAAACATAGTACCAAAAGTGGGTGCAGGAAGCTGTGCTGATAACAAAAACAAGTTCAACAACCTTAGCAGACGTGAGCGAGACATATTCAAAGATGTTCAGCATATCCAGCGCAGGCCTCAGCTGTCAGACTCAGTTGAATGTTTTGGTGATCACATAGACCAGAGGTGAACCATAATCTAATACAGAGCTGAGCAGCAGCCTAGAGAGAGTCAGGGGACATACACAGCATAGGCAGGCTGCTGTTTTTATGTTTAGCTCCATCGCCCTTTCTCTTTCCCAGAATCCAAAAGATCAACCTAAACCTTTTCTATTTGCCACAAACAGCTTTATGTAATTCATTTCTGGCTGCGTTTGTTGGAAGGAAGAGAAGAAAAGTTAAATATGGACTGGCTGAGATGAATATTTCAAGCCAAGAAGCATGGTTCCTCCATTAGCGTGCTCAGTTTTCTCCTCCGGAGCAACTAAACCATCTCAACCTATTGCAACCAGCCTCTGAAATATTAAACAAACACTCCAAAGAGAGGCAGTGTAGTCACAAGTATGAAGAGATAGCTTGAGCTCTATTTCAGCACCACACATAGTGGGACTGATGAAACCAGAACAACCTCTTTATATTTCTTTTATATGTGTTACACGTGTTTTATCTAACTCAGTGTCTTGATACTTTTTCAGAAATTGCATTTTCAAAGCAAGTTCATGCTTGCATTTAGTGTTTGCTGTTAAAGGGCAAGGCTTGCAATATTCTTTACTTTGGATGTTGCCAACAAATCTCACAGGAAGACCGAAAGACTAAAAGTTGTGTAAAATTCAAACTTAGTTTCATTCAAACTAAGGAAGCCACTTTTAACAGGAGTTGCAAACTGATGTCAGTCTGTTTGTACGTGTGTGTGTGTCGTCTCACCACATCGACCAGCTGAGAGATCTTGAGTCCAAAGCGTACTTTAATAGTGTCATTGGCACGCTGGATTGGCCTAACCCAGCGCTGATAGCCTTGGAAAAGGTTCTTCAATAAAGCATCCTCCATCTCCGCCAAGGACACAAACTCATTTGGAGCTGGAACAAGAAGAGGGAAGATGGATCAACAATAATAACTCCTACTGCCGCTGCTTTTCACCATCACCAGCCTGATTTTAAGTGGCAGGGATAGAAAGTAGAGCATTTACTCTTCCTCTAAAAAACACACACTGCATAACAAGATAACAAGATAGGATAAATGGTTAATATGGCTGTGCACAGAAGCTGGGCAGTCAGCCCATCAGTCAGTCTGCAGTGAAATAAAGCCACCAGAGAAACAGAAACTGTAATGTCGATGGAGAGAGACATCTAAAATATCAGACACAAGGGACATCATGTGCAAGGACTAATGTGTGTGTGAGCTGAGGGACCGGGAGGAAGGGCGTCCACCTTTAACCTGCAGCGTTTTTGCTTTGGGTTTTTTTTCCACTCTGGCTTCACATCTGTCTGACATCATATGACAGGGTAAATGCATATAAAGGATCCACCAAGCAAACATAAAAGCCACATTACAGATGATTGAATCCCACAAGCTCTGGCAGTACTTTCAAGGACAGATGCAGAGATGCTGATATATGACACCTGTGTTCTTGTTTGCCTGATGACCAGTCAGCTCCAAGAGAAGCAGAACTAGGGCCATCGCATTACTGCGTTACACTGCTAAAAGGACTATCTTGTTGCGCTAAAAAAAAAAAAAGCTTAATTCATCCCACAAAAATGGCAGCTTTTGCTGTTTTGTTGTTGTCAACACAATTAGAAGTCTGCATGCTTTCTCCAAGTTACTGAATCTTTAAATCCGAAAATCAACGTAACGGAATGTAAACATAATCCTTTGCTTTAAAAGACCAGTGGTGAGTAGTTGGTAGTAGTTTGTGCTTTCCCGTTTGACAAGGTCATCGGAGTTTATGCAGAGTTTAATCAAAGCTATTAGCGGATGTTGCACAACATGGAACAAATCGGTGGAGGCATTACTGAGCATAGAGTATGTCTTCTAAAGAAATATTATATTTATATACACATATATCAAGAGTTTTCTCACCGGCAATCTTCGCGGGGGACAGCTTGCAAAAACCCAAGAGGAGGAGAAGAAGGACTTCTAACTTCATGGTATTGTCAGCTGGAGAAGAAGGCTATGCACACCGATATGTCTTAGACCCCGAGGTTCCCATCAGTGCTGGAACTAGACGGTATACGGAAAGTAACCCCGTTACTGCTGCCGTGTATCAGGGGGCAGGGACCTGATGTGAGAGCGCATGTGTCCGAATCTGATTCCGTTCGAGGCGTCACGGGAAGCGCCGCTGTCGGTGGACGGGGTGGCTCGCAGGAGGAGGGAGGGAGGGAGCGGGGAGGATGAAGGAGGTGGTGGAGGGATTCCCGGATCGGACAAATAAGTGAAGTTTTAAAGATGCTCTAAATCATTGTGTTTAGCTCACTGCTGCTACTGACCTCCTCAGGATGGACTAGGTTATTACTAGCCGATGTTTAAAAGTACAGCGAGTCAGAAAAGTCCTGCTCGGAATGTAAGTCTTGAGCTTTCACTTTAAATTGTGTGTAGAGTTTGCACATTTTACAAAAGACTTGGGACAAACAAATACCCGCCTCTAATGACTTTAGCTTTTGTTGCATTTTATTTTATTGTCTATAGTTTTCTTTTTATAAAAATAATATAGGGAATATAATGCAGTGAGAATGGTTGCCCCTCCTTCAGCGTCACCTTTTAGTCCATAGCACAAAGCAATTAAGCCCGTCCTTTAATGCAGAAAGCCCCTGTATGTGCACATGAAAACATCATATGAATGATGCGTCTTCATGAACTTGCTTTGAAAATGCAATCACTTTGTACCTAAGCAGGAGACTAGTCTGCCTTCATCAATAACATCTGTTTTACCTGTTGTTATGTTTTGGAAAAGCTTTATTACACTTTATTGCACCATTATCCCCAGGATCAAGAATCTGAGTTACAAACACTGTTATATTTAACTTTAAATTACTGAATAAAGTTGTTAAAAAGTGCTTCTGTTAGTGTATGTGAAGGGCACGCTTGTTTGAATTTTTTTGAAGTTTTATTTTGCACAAATAAACTCAAACATACATAGATCAAATTAAAGTAAGGCAAAAAATAGTTTTATTGACATAAACAGGAAGCAGAAAGATTCAAATCAGATTTTGAGACATTTATAGGTAAACCTGCAATGCAACTGGAACATTTCTGTCTCAGAGCACCAGGTTATCATTACATTATCACTGTGCAATCAGTCAAAGCTTACTGAGTATGTCCCAATGTGATTAGTTTGGCTAGTTTCAAGCTTGCTGAGACTCACCCTGGCATGAGTTTGTCTTTTAGTTTCCTCTACCTGATACCAACTATACACGGTCATAAATACTGTAGTGAAAGTTTATTGTGTTGTGTATTTTTTAGAGGTCAAGTGTGTTTGCAAACATCAGTGTGAATATTTCATCAAGATAAAGATCGGCTGCTCAAGTGCCAAAGACAGAATATTTGGGGGTCACAACTACATAATTCAAACACATGATTGCACACATGTAAGACACAGAAACAGAAACAATATTTCCATGTTATGAGGCATGCCCTTGCATGCAACTGAACAAAAAGACTGAGGGTTGTCATGAAAAGGAAAGGAAAGGAAACCCAAACTCATGGCATACAGGACAAAAACAGCTGAACATAAGGCCTAACTCGCACACAAAGAAAGACACTTAGAAGAAGCAAAAACAATAGAATAGGAGTGAGAAAAGGAGAGCCAAGAGCAACATAAACTTATTATTATCCCGCAGTCAAAGACAGGCTGGTGGTGAGACGGCAGACATGCTTTACAACTCATAGCTGAGAACAACAACACTTTAGATGAAAAGAAATGTGTGATGTGAAATCAGTACTGCCCTATACCAGCTGACATCTGGGAACTTGTAGAAATGCTTAGCTGAGGTGTGAAATCAGCATCTGATACAAACACATTAGCATTGCTTAGTTATGTACAAACACACTTTAAAGTTTAAAGTTCCCTGTTAACACAGGTTGAAACCAGGCAACAATCATCTTAAAATATCAGCATATATAAAGCTATTATTTGTATGTTAAAGTTCAGGGATTTGGATACCTGCTTTGAATGTTGTTAGGCCATTGAAAGGGTGTTATCAATGGTACAAGCTCCATAGATATAAAAAAGTCTCCATAACTCATCCAGGTATATTCTAAGCAGACAGGAACTCTCAGTATTTTTATTTTCTCCTCCTTTTCACCTTCCTCCTCTCTTTCTAGTATACATATGCAGTACACACACAAACACACACATACTTATATATATAATATATATATATATATATATATATATATATATATATATTATATATATATATTATATATATATATATATATATATATATATATATATATGTTTATCTCACACTCCCCCTCCCTTGTGTTTCCTTTCCTGCTTCTCCTGGGTTGAAGTAGCAGGGATAACGGGAGGCTGATTATCACAATGAAATTATCCTGATTTTCTGCTCCACTTGGAGCGGTGGGGCGGGCAGCTGCTGCCTCCGAGATCGACCCATCCGCCTCGCCTCTAATCATTCAGAAACATAAATTCTCATGGGCTTGAAACCTACTGGTCTCTTCCCAGATGACTGTGGGCAGCTGTGCAGCTTGCATATGTATGTGTTAGTTGATGTGTGTGAGAGTGAGAAAGTGAGATAGTGAAAATGCAAAGTGAGGAGAGAGCACATTGTCAGCATCTGTGCGTTTACAAAAATGTTGGCGCTTGCTTGTCTCGGCTCATGTGTGTGTGTGTTCTCTTCTTGACTGTGTTGGTGTTGTTTTTGTTTTCTCAGCCATTGTTGAGCCCATAATTAGAGTCTGCATAATTTCACTGGGTGCAGAAATATTGAATTAATAAGAGGAAAAAGCCTCGACTACCAAGGCCTGGGGGTTTAATCTTAGTGTGTTTGTTGTTTTAAGGGTTTGAAAAAATGGTCATAAAGGAAGGAGGGGGATACAGCAAAGGAAATCCAATCTCACACAGACTTCAAAGGGAAACACAAAGAGTAGTCTAATAGCATCACCCCACCCCATATGCTATCACCAGCACTTCAAATGAAAAATCAGATAACCTGATGGCCTCATAGCAGCTTTTAGATGATACAAACTTTTTTCCAAGTCACTCCAACTTTAAAATGGTCTGATGAAAAAAAATCCAAAACCCATCAATAATATAGCGGTTCAGTCATTTGATATTTTAATCTTCCGAAGCACAAAAGAACTGCAGGGGAAACTAGCTGCAAAGATTCTGGCCAGATCTGAGGAGCAAAAATCTTTCAAATTTATCTCAAACTTACAACAGAGGAATAAAAAGGGAAAGGGGAGCATGTGAGAGAGGGAGGGAGTGAGAGATTAAAACAAATTGGCCATAATACCCTTTGGGGCTCAAATATCAGTTCAAGAGCCAATGCTGGAGTGGAAAAAGTTAGCAGCAGAGTAAGCTTTCTCACTCCACTGACACACAGTCACAACATGACTATTGACCTTGAACATGATACTTCAGTCTAAGAGGCTCACACTGATTTTCCTTTTGTTTTCGTCTGACTGACGTGAGAAAAAGAAAAGACGGAGCAGCGTTTGAAACTCTAGCCGCTCAGACAGGGTTACAATTCTGTCTCCTTCTGATAATGTGTAAAGACGGAGGAGCAAAGATCAAGTGCGGCAGAAATGTTCACAGCATTATAGAAATAAACATCTGTGTATGCCTGCCTCACTTTGTTGGAACATAAAAGCAAGTTCCTACAAATAACTCATTCATCTATATGTGACTACCACAGTAAGTGCAGTGCTCAGTTTGTGGTCATATTTTTGGGGTCTTCTTCTCATATTTATTCAGTAGATGGAGCCACTCACCTTTGTTGCTAAATATCTTCATTATAGGAAAATTATGACAATGCCACAGTTCAGATATTATTAATCACTGTTATTAGTATCATCTGTGACCGCATAATGATCTTGTAACATTGTACGTAAATAAACCAACACTGACTGTTACAGAACTCACCCAAGCAGCTTCAAGCTCAGCACTACATTTACTGGGCTGCAGATACAGCAAGTTTAAAAATGATCTGATTAAGCGTTGTTGGGGAAAGCGAACAGACTGACAGACACAGATTAAGCACAATATTCCGATTTTCAAATGCTATACAGATGTTTGGAGCTGGGACATGTTTAATCTGAAAATCTTCAGATTAAAAAATAGCCTTTTTTGACCTCAACACCTCTAATTTAATTGTGCCCTCTGATAAGTATTGTAGCTTAATACAGCTTCACAGTTTGTTTGCATCAGCACTGTGTCAATTAGATGTCTCCACTAAGATATGAAAAAAACGACTGTGTGTGTGTGTGTGTTCCTGTCTAGCTATCTTTGTGAGGACTGAAATCTCCATTCTACTATACTTTTGAGAACCAACTGTCACTTGTGAGGACACACACACCGGTCCTCACAAGTTTGAAGGCCTTTTTGAGGCTCAAAATGTAGTTTTAGTGTCAGGGTTACAATTAGGTTATGGTTAGGTATAAGAGAAAGTTTGATTTAGTTGACTTTCATTAAAGTTTTTATTGCATGGTCCTAGGGGCTGCTGGATCATCCAGATTTCTCCCTTGAGACTCCTGTTCAACTTCTCTGCTCCTCTTCTCCTTTTCCTCGATGGTCCTCTTCGCATATACCGTATTCGATCCCTTGTGACTGGGTTAGGGTTAGGCATTCATTTTTAATGGTTTAGGATTAGGGTAAGGGGTAGGGAAACCATTATGTCAATGAAGGTCCTCACTAAGATAGCTGAACGGGCTTGTGTGTGTGTGTGTGTGTGTGTGTGTGTGTGTGTGTGTGTGTGTGTGTGTGTGTGTGTGTGTGTGTGTGTGTGTGTGTAGAGCATCTCCTCCAGAGTTAGTAGGCAAAGAGTTAATGGTTATGGCTGTAGTCATAAGTTGTGAGTCAGTTGTGCTTTGCATATTTGCACGTGTCTGTAATCTGAATTATTGCAGATATGGTTGTCTATCTTTATGTGTTTGTGCAAGTTTGTGTGCTTGTATGTACTTAATGTGGGTATGAAACTGTGCTGTGCTGCTCCATGTGCCAATATGTATGTATGTAAATCTGTATTTCCCTATTTCTGTCTGTGTTAGCCTAATCTGTCTTCACATGCTGCTGTATTTATGTAGTTATGTTCATAATCACTGAGACAAAAACATTCTCTGTTCATCTGGATTCTGTGTGCCACCGCAGTGGATCTGAAATCAAACAGTCAAAACGTGACTGAGGGCAGACTTTCAGCTTTAATTAAATGGGTTTCACAAAAATATTGTATTAACTATTAAGAATTTCAGCTATTTTTC